ATCAAGTATCTAACAACATAACAATATCAAGTATCTAACAATATAACCATATCAAGTATCTAACAACATAACCATATCAAGTATCTAACAATATAACCATATCAAGTATCTAACAACATAACCATATCAAGTATCTAACAACATAACCATATCAAGTATCTAACAACATAACCATATCAAGTATCTAACAATATAACCATATCAAGTATCTAACAACATAATCATATCAAGTATCTAACAACATAACCATATCAAGTATCTAACAACATAACCATATCAAGTATCTAACAACATAACCATATCAAGTATCTAACAATATAACCATATCAAGTATCTAACAACATAATCATATCAAGTATCTAACAACATAACCATATCAAGTATCTAACAATATAACCATATCAAGTATCTAACAATATAACCATATCAAGTATCTAACAATATAACAATATCAAGTATCTACCATATCAAGTATCTAACAACATAACCATATCAAGTATCTAACAATATAACCATATCAAGTATCTAACAACATAACCATATCAAGTATCTACCATATCAAGTATCTAACAACATAACCATATCAAGTATCTAACAACATAACAATATCAAGTATCTAACAATATAACCATATCAAGTATCTAACAACATAACCATATCAAGTATCTAACAACATAACCATATCAAGTATCTAACAACATAACCATATCAAGTATCTAACAATATAACCATATCAAGTATCTAACAACATAACCATATCAAGTATCTAACAACATAACAATATCAAGTATCTAACAATATAACCATATCAAGTATCTAACAACATAACCATATCAAGTATCTAACAATATAACCATATCAAGTATCTAACAATATAACCATATCAAGTATCTAACAACATAACAATATCAAGTATCTAACAACATAACCATATCAAGTATCTAACAACATAACCATATCAAGTATCTAACAACATAACCATATCAAGTATCTAACAACATAACCATATCAAGTATCTAACAACATAACCATATCAAGTATCTAACAATATAACAATATCAAGTATCTACCATATCAAGTATCTAACAACATAACAATATCAAGTATCTAACAACATAACCATATCAAGTATCTAACAACATAACCATATCAAGTATCTAACAACATAACCATATCAAGTATCTAACAACATAACCATATCAAGTATCTAACAACATAACCATATCAAGTATCTAACAACATAACCATATCAAGTATCTAACAACATAACCATATCAAGTATCTAACAACATAACCATATCAAGTATCTAACAACATAACCATATCAAGTATCTAACAACATAACCATATCAAGTATCTAACAACTACTTTGCACTGACTTTGACAATGGTATCAAAAGCCAACCATCCAAGAAGCAATGGCAAACTACTGAACTTAAAAAGTGCCAAGTAAAACCACAAACAGCCAACAAATGTGGGGGTTGGTGTGTGTTTTCTAATTCTTCTTTTCTCTACTGTTGGAGTGCCTCGTGGAGTCAGGGCAGGAAGAGATCGCTAGAAGGGGTCCTTCTTTTCGCTTTGTATAGTACTTTTCAGTGTCTTTGATATTTTTGCAGTCCAAAAAATATAAAGTATAAAGTTCAGTATTGATTCTGTGATGACTCACCTCACGATTACATCGTTCTTAAGTCGATCTTTCCTCGCTACACCTAGCATAGTACATAAACATTAAATTTCTGCCATGACTATTTTCCTTCTGTCTTGGTGTGTGCAACATCCCATAAAGGATATGCAGCTCACTTTTTCTTTCTTTACTTAATACACTAGTTAATTGTTTTTGCATTCTTGAGTGCTTCTTTAGTTCCACACAACTGAGAAGTTTAATAAAGAGTCAATAAACCTATATATCTATTCAGATTGCTGTACGGAGGACAATCCTTAATAACATGTTAAACCTTCCACTCTAAGAGGTCTGTAAATCAGCTTTGTCAGCTGTTATATATCCCTGTTAATGTCTGTAAATCAGCTCTGCTGCATTGTTCTTCTTCTTTTGTCATCTCACTGATACCACGTTGTAGCCTAGTGTTGTGGTTTTCTGTATTTGTCTTGCTGCATTTCTGTCAGAAATCTAATCATAATTCACTCACCTTGTCACCATTCACAGACACATAATTATCAGCAGCTCTGCTAGAAAGCTAATTAAAATTTACCAACCTTGTCACCATTCACACCAGGAGGTCCAACTGGGCCAGATGGTCCTCTGTAGCCCTATAAAATAAAAGCAGTAATGAGTTACAGAAAACAACAATAACAAGCAAATGCACATGCTAGAAAATATACCAAAAAAACTCATAGCATGAACATAAATTGCAAAATAAATACACAGTGCAGTAAACACGTTGAAAAAAAAAGCCTTTTTTTAATGTACTGAACTATTTTGTGTATGTGGTAGTATATTTCTTACATTTGTTTAATAAGTTATTAATACAGTAACAGATATTATGATGCTTATATGGGCAGTGAAAATTAAACAGAGACAAATTCCTGAGGAAACTGATGAAATTTAAAAGGGAAGAAGAATTCAAGAAAGGTGAAGAAATAGGAGAAATGTCTGGACAAGCACAGGCATCAAAAGTTATCCATTGTAAGATAAAGAAGATGGCTTTACAATGGAGACATCCTGAGAATCATCAAGGAGCCACTTTAGTTGGGGAAATGGCTGAACCCAGGAAACAAAGAAAACCCTAACATGAATGTCAATGAAAGAGGCCGAAGATGCTGGAGTGAATTCCATCCATAATGTCAAAATGATTACAGAGGATAGAAAAGAATGGAGGAACAGACTGTGAACCCTATCTGACTTATAGATGCATAACAGAGCAATGAAGATAACTGATAAACAAAGAAAGAATGAGCACACACAAAAGTGTAGAAAAACAGTAAGAAAAATACAGAACCCATTCCTCACTCTTTCACTGGCTTAATCGTTCACTCTCACTCCCTAACTCACAGATTCTTTCTCACACTCAAACCTTCTTTCTCACTTTATCTGTCATCCCTCCCTCTCATCAACTTGGTCTTTCTCTCTCTGAAGCACAAACACACACATACACTCTCTCTTGCACTCATTTTATTTCTATCCACATTTGATTTTCACTTACACTTTCTCTACCTTTCTCACTTCTTATCCCCTAATTCTCATTTTCACCCACACATTCTCACCCACACATTCTCACTAACACATTCTTACCCACACATGTATAAAGAAAGACTTACCCTAGGTCCATCTGCACCAACAGGACCAGGCTGCCCAATGGGGCCTTCAGGTCCCTGTGAAGATAAAAGTAACAACATCCCATAAGCTGATAACAACATCCCATTATATTTTAACAAACAAAATAAGATCTGGTGACTTCCAAATCCATCTTTGGACTGATTTATCTGATGAATGATGATAATGATGCCAATGATGACAATACAAATAATGATGACAATGCAAAAAGTGATAAAAATTATGATATTGATCAAAAGGATGCAATGATGACAATTATGAGTATAATGAAAATTATGACATGGATGATAGTGATGACAATGATAGTATCATGAATATGATGATTGTGATGATAATTATGATGATAACAATGCTAATGATGATAATAATCCTAATAGTGACAATGAAAATCACAATGATAACCATGTTGATAATGAGAACAATGATGATAACAATGATGATTACAATGATGATAACAATGATAATGAAAATTACAGTAATAATGTTGATAATGATGTTAAAAGGATTATAATGATGATGAGAGGGATGAAAATGATGATGCCAATGATATCAAAAATAATAACAATAATGAAAATGATAATGATGATGACAATGATAACAATAATCATGATGATAACAATGGGTATAACAATGATAATAGTGATAATGACAATGATAACATTTGTGATAATAGTGGTGATGACACTAGTGATAACAATGGTGATAACACTGATGATGACAACGACCATAATGATGGTAATAATTGAAAATAATCAAGATAATGATGATAACAATGATGACAATTATGATAACAATATAATGACAATGATGGTAATAATGTCAATAAAAATGATGATAACAATGGTGATAGTAATAACACTGATGATAATAATGATGATAACAAAATTGATAACAATGATAATTACAATGGTGACCATGATGATGAAAACACTGATGATAATGATTATGATAACAGTATTGAAAACCATGATAATGACAATGATGATAACAAGGATGATAATGGCAATGACAACACTGAAGATATAAATGACAATAGCAATGATAATGCTATTTATGATTACAAAAATAATAACAATTATGATAAAAAGGGTGATAACTATGATAATGATGGTAACAAAGATGATAACAATGATGATAACTATGATAATGATGGTAACAAAGATGATAACAAAGATGATAACAATGATGATAACAAGGATGATAACAAGGATGATAACAATGAAAATAACAAATATGATATCTATAATGACAATGACAATGATAACACTGATGCTGATGGTCCCAATGATAATGATATTTCTGGCAACAATTATGATAATGATGATGGCAGATAGATAGCTGGAGATGTTATGCCAGTTCTGAGCAAATTACATAAGATGACAAAGGTGAAGACATCTATTGAACAATTTCAAAACACAGAACTAAGAAAGTAATCCAAAAATGATAAAATAACATCGCAAATGTATTATCATGATGCAAAACAATTGATATTTAACATCAGAATAAAAGCTATAAAACAAATAAATTAAGCAAAAGTTCTACAGATTAGGAATATGGAAAGATGAGAGGTAATGTCACTAGCAATAATCTTCTGCTCGTCTATAATAATAATAATAAAAAAAATTATAACAGATGAGAAGAGAAGAAAGAGAAAGATATATTAATAATAATAAACAAATATTTATTATGAGCATAAAATGTTCAAAAACCTGGTTTCCTTTTTCTCCACGCTTGCCTTCATTTCCTTGTGGGCCAGGAGGACCCTGTTGGGAATGAAAGTATACAAATTATGTAGAACATAATGATCTGGCATATAAAACAATAATTTATATGGTGTATATAATAATGTGTAGTGCAATAGTTACCCAGTATGAAATAACTTGCATATTCTTAGACAATGAGATGAGATAATGATCAAAGTAAGAAGAAAAAAATGAACACAAAATATTACAAAACCCGTTGGCCCCTTTCCGTCTTTCCAGATGATAGGATATATTGTACTATGAGGAGGCATGGTGCTCACAACCCATGGAGATGGTGAGTGTGACTAGCAAGACCCATTGAGTTAAGTAAAGTTTTCCACAATTTGAGCACTGAATTTCAGGACAGTTATTGAGATCACATGACACTCAGCTCTCAATCCAATCATTTCGGCAATGACTGTTTCCTTTTCATTCTCTTCCTGGTTTGCTCCCTCCACACAACAAGATCCATATCATTTTGTTTACACGAATCTTCCTCAATACTTTTTCTGTATTCTGTTTACCAGCTATAAACTCCAGCAGAAAGTTCTGTTTGTTCGTCCATTCTGGACTTTAGTCTTGTTCCAGAGCTTGAGTTTTGCATGCACATTGATTTGATAGATCTGGCCTATTTGTATGCAGACTGTTGGTTCCTTGTCTCTCAGGCAGATGCCCTCGAACTTTGAAGAAAACAGCCCTAATTAGTCAAATTCAATGGCATGCTCTTTAGGGGATGGTAAGACTGTTCTTCTTTCTCTTAAAATAGAGTCCCAGAACCCACATTGGAATATTTACTAGTGATATTAATTATATATTTGTGCAATGGTGTAGCTTTGCAGTGAGAACTTGGCCATCTTATCAGTAGAATAAGTCATCATCATCTTCAGTTTCCACTTCTGCGGTTAAGCGTTGTGGGGAGGAACAGTTTGCGATCCATCGCTTGATGGGCAGCAATGGCTACTGTCATACCGTGTTGATGTAGAAGCTCTTTAATGGCATCATTCCATCTTCTCCTAGGTCCGCCTCTTGCTTTCACTTCAAATCCTTTCATGTATAGCACCAGCATTGGTAGTTGTCCTGGCCGCATTCTTACTCAATGACCAAACCATTCGATCTTCTGTTTCTGAGTTAATCGGCTGCATGGTGTTGTTCCTACAGTCTGTCTGATATTATCATTTTTAACTTTGTCTCGGATAGTTAAGTTGGTGGCTCTTCTCATGCATCTCATTTCACAGGTGTTAATATAAAATTATAAAAGTAGTAAGTAGAATAAGCTTTTCTTCTTATAATGGTTAGGCAGCCAGAATAGCTAGAAACAGAACTTGATACCTTATGTTGTTAACCTAATACCTTTTACTGCTTTGGGTATCAAGGAACATAATACCTTTTACTGCTTCGGGTACTGAGGAACATAATACCTTTTACAGCTTCGGGTATTGAGGAACATAATACCTTTTACAGCTTCGGGTATTGAGGAACATAATACCTTTTACAGCTTCAAGTATTGAGGAACATAATACCTTTTACTGCTTCAAGTATTGAGGAACATAATACCTTTTACTGCTTCGGGTACTGAGGAACATAATACCTTTTACAGCTTCGGGTATTGAGGAACATAATACCTTTTACAGCTTCGGGTATTGAGGAACATAATACCTTTTACTGCTTCCGGTATTGAGGAACATAATACCTTTTACAGCTTCGGGTATTGAGGAACATAATACCTTTTACAGCTTCGGGTATTGAGGAACATAATACCTTTTACTGCTTCGGGTATTGAGGAACATAATACCTTTTACTGCTTCGGGTATTGAGGAACATAATACCTTTTACTGCTTCGGGTATTGAGGAACATAATACCTTTTACTGCTTCGGGTATTGAGGAACATAATACCTTTTACTGCTTCAGGTATTGAGGAACATAATACCTTTTACTGCTTCAGGTATTGAGGAACATAATACCTTTTACTGCTTCGGGTATTGAGGAACATAATACCTTTTACTGCTTCGGGTACTGAGGAACATAATACCTTTTACTGCTTCCGGTATTGAGGAACATAATACCTTTTACAGCTTCGGGTATTGAGGAACATAATACTTTTTACAGCTTCGGGTATTGAGGAACATAATACCTTTTACTGCTTCCGGTATTGAGGAACATAATACCTTTTACAGCTTCGGGTATTGAGGAACATAATACCTTTTACAGCTTCGGGTATTGAGGAACATAATACCTTTTACTGCTTCGGGTATTGAGGAACATAATACCTTTTACTGCTTCGGGTACTGAGGGTGACATAAGGTTCTGCTTCTTGCTCTTCTTGATGCCTAACCATAGACACACTGTGCTATTGTAGAGTCTTTCTAATGTCATCTTTCCATCTTGTTGTTGGTCTGCCTTGTGCTCTAAATCCTCTTCTCATCATTTGGTGTGTGCCCTGTATATGTGTCACAATTGTTCTCTCTATGTGGGCAAACTATCTGATTTGTTGTCTTTGTTTGTAACTTAGAATTGGTTCTGTGCTGCATTTTTCTATTATGATTTTATTTTCTGATTTTATCCAGAATGTCCTGCTTAGTCTGTGCTGATTTATCTTTTCTGAACTGCTGCTGCAATCCTTGCTGCTTCACATGCTGCTGCTCCCCAGTGAAGAGGTGAGTACCATGATAAATGGTCAAGTGCAGCAACTTTCCATGTATGAGGATCATGGCTAATAGTCTTTAGTTAGCTTTTTAAATTGTCTTGGTGTCACCTTCCTTACCGTACCATAGGACATATTCCCAACTCCTTTCGATGTCTTTGAAGACTGTCCTTGAAATGTTTCATTTTCCCACCTTTAGGTGTTTACCTTTGTGTAGTTCCCCATAGAAGATTCTTTTAGGCAGTCGTTGGTTGGTCTAACAAGTGGACTACATGACCTGTCCAGTGTAAATGAGATTGTTAAAGAACTTAAGATGGTCACAAACAATAGCAATACTCACCGGAGTACCAGCCGATCCAGCAGGTCCAGGCAATCCAGGGGCACCTTTATCACCCTGTGTTTATTGAAAGAGAGGGGAAAGAATGTGAAGTCTTACTGACAGATATCATTGTAGACTATTGCAATGATATATAAGACACTAGAATAAGCATACTGAGGAGCAGCTAGACGAGTGAGTAAAATTGTGGGCTCCCATTTGGGAGACAGAGGTTCAAACCTTTGGTACGGTGATGGATTTTCTTCTGTCAGGGGCAAAAATGAAATCCTGACTTGCACAATGTGCAATGCCTGCGCTGGCCATGCAGTCTTAAATCCTCCTTCTTAAAGCCTGAAGAGAATGAGGCATCTGGGTGTAACCAGAGGGTCTGGCCGGCTCACTACACTCAGAAGAAAGGCAAGGCGGACATATAACCAGATTGTGACCGGCACCATCAGCACTGAAACTCTGCTCTGGCTGCTAACAATGAGGATGAAGCATGCATGGGAATGCCCCAAGTGTTTTGATCACTATTCTTGACTCAACCCAACTCAACTTAAATCCTCTGTTTCACAACACTATTGTCTTAGATCGCCCTAAATATTGGTAAATATGGATAGTAAAGATAGTTATTTAAGAAAAATAAGTACATTACAATGAAAAACATGCTGAAGCTCTAGATAACTGCAAAGAAAGGATTTATAAGCCATGTATCAGTGAGAACATTAAATACTTTACAGAGGATCTTTCTTTCTTCTTTCTTTTGCCATCTCACTGTTACCAGGTTGAAGTTGTTGTGGCTTTTGTGTATTTGTCTTGCATTTCTTGGGTTGCTTGGCTGATGAATTTGTTTATGTGTTCGTAGGTTTCAGATACACCATTTACCCATCTCTTTCTTGGTCTTCCATCCCATCTGTTCTGTTTTAAAAAATCTCATCTGTAGTTTGGACTGGCTGCATTCTAACTAGATTGTCTAACCACGACCGGCTCCAGCTGACGGACCGTGCTGCTGACGTCACTGGGTCAGGCTAAACGCAGCGATTCTCAAACAAGAAATATGCTATTCTCGACAGATGCGAGGGAACGACAACTTAAATTGAACTTTTGAGTATCTACATTCCTCCTGACACTTTGATGAGGTACTAGGTGGAAGAGAAGAAGAAGAAGAAGAGGTATCGACATGCCTTCTTTAATAATTTCACAATTTTTAGCCGACTTTTCTTGATTATCGCCGCGGCACCCCGGGCATACGCTCACGGCACCGCAGGGTGCCTCAGCACACAGTTTGAGAACCGCTGCGTTAACGCATAGTTAGCCCGACTCGGTGACATCAGCAGCACGGCCCGTCAGCTGGAGCCGGTTGTGGCCTAACCATTACATTCTTTGTCAATATAATTCAGTGACAGTCTTATTTCAACTTTCTAATGCTGGCATTCATAACCCTGCCCCTTCTTGTGTTGTCAGCGACCTTATAGGGAGACACCACATTACACAGGTCATTATTTTCTGTTTAAGTGTCCTATTCATTGTCCACGTTTGGCACTGACAGTAAGGATGAGGATGTTATTAATTATTTGCTGTTTTGCTGGAAGGGAGACTTTTGGGTGTCTAAGCAGTGGGGCTAACTGGTAGGTTAGCATTTGCATTTGCCTTCTGTACTCTGGCTTTCTATCTCTCTATCAAACAGCGGATAAAAATGCCAAATAAAACACTAAAACATGAAGCATTAACTGCAAATCTGTACATTCACTAACAGCATTGATGGATAGAAGTATATGAATATCACAAACACAATAATGTGATCTATAAAATATGAAACAGCAAAGGTATAAGTTAGAAAAACAATAGAATAATTTAAAAAAACAAAAACATCAACTACTTATGCTAATGATTAGAATTTCTTACTTTCTTTTTTTTTGATCGACCAGTTGGTTTTTTCTTCATTACATCTACAGTTTATACAATACACATTACAGAAGACATGTACAGAACCACAAGAAATAAATGATAAAAGATTGATATGCTTGGCATGGATTGGCAGAGGAGTTTAAAAAAAAAAAAAAAGGGTATGACAAAGAGACACGAGATGACCAAGCTAAACAATATCACATCCTTACAACTGGGCCCCCAGGACCTTGGGGTCCTGGGTCACCTTGCCTGCCTTCTTTGCCCTGTTAAGAAAGAAAAAAAAAATTTTAAAGTTATGCAAAATTATCATGTATATATTAAATGATAGATTTCTGGCATATGTATGTCTTTAATTTGAACTTTTCGAACTCTTTTGGTACCAAAGAACAGTTAAATTCGAGAGAAATCATTTGCACACACACATGAACACACACACACACAAACACTTGTACTTTCAATAAAACTCTGACACACTTGATCCTCCATGCCATGATGTCAAACTGTCCAGCATCTTTTCTTTCTGTTTATCTCTCTCTACATTCCTTTGCCAGTTGAAATAACTAAAACTCCATCCCTGTTCTATTTGAGAATATATATATGAGTGTGTGTGTGCGTATGAATATGTATTTGTCTATTTATGAATGTATGTGTATATAAATATATATATATGTATGTATGTGTGTGTGGGTGCGATATATAGCGTGTGTTTATGTATTTATGAGTGTGTTTACACAAATTTGTGTGTATGTAGATGTGTGTGTATGTAATGTGCATGTGTAAACTGTGGGTGTGTAAGTTTGAGTGTGTAAGCACGAGTATGTGCGTGTATGTATGCACACATGCATATCTGAATGAACATATTTGCCATCCATACCTAATTCATAGAATTATATATAATATATTTTTTTAAAAAAAAAGAAAAAAAAAAAGAAAAGAAAGAAAGACGTTACCTCAGCACCTGGATAACCTCTGTCACCCGGATAGCCTGGCGCTCCTGTGGGGCCAGGTGGTCCAGGGTTGCCAGGTGGTCCAACAGGGCCCTTTAAAATAAAAAAAAATAATGTGAACTGCTGATTATCTTATTACACATTTATCATTCTTCTTCTTCTGCATTAATCCACAGATGTAAATGTGTTGTGCCCATTTACAAAATGACTGCGATTTTTGCGCCTTTTGGCTGACACATCTAACTTCTGCTAGTATATGTTGTCTGGATTAGCCTTCCTGGTATTTGTCATTCAATTCAAAACTCTCCATGAACAAATAATACTGTAAACACAGTAGTAGTCGAGGTTTCAACTTCACTGCAACCGGGTTACCCCATACATGCTCGGCTCCTGTGCCAGTGAAAATGAAATGAGATGTCCCTCACTGTCTCATTTGAAAAACTGGTGAGCAAACAATTAGTCCCGGCATAATCCAGTTTTACAGAGATAAAGAACAGAACAGAACAGGACAGGCAAAAAATGCATTTTATCAAATAAAGAACATTGTTTGCAGTAAATCTTTTTCATTGGAGGTAAGAAAAATAATTCTCGCATGCCATATAGAGCCAGTTTTAACATACGGCTGCGAATCCTGGACAATTAATAAACAAGCCAAACAGCATCTTGAGGCTGCGGAGATGTGGATTTACAGAAGAATTATCAGAATTCCTTTTACAGCTAAGAGGAGTAACCCAGATGTTTTGAAAGAGGCTGGGGCTTGAAGACAACTTATCACAAACATCAGAAAGAGTCAGCCTTAATTGTTTGGTTATGTTATGAGAAGAGGGAAAATGGAACATGTTGTAACTACTGGAAAGATTTGTGGAAAGAAAGACAGAGGAAAACAGCGTGAGAAGATGCTTGACAGCCTTTTATGTACAAACTGATACATGCAGTTGTAGATCACAGATTGTGGAGAGACATGATCGCCTATGCCAGTCGGCAAGGCACTTGATGATGATGATAATCCAGGAATATGCACATGCAGCAAATGCATAAGGCAGTTTCTAGCCAAAGCCACCAGTTGCCATCAGAAATGCAGTTTATCGTTGACAGAAGTAGTTGGTCATGATCTTAGCTCACTGTCAGCTCACATGCAAAGTAAATGCATAAGGCAGTTGTCAGATGTGTCAGCACTAACAGTCTCATGTCAGAACTGCAGCTCAATGTCAGCTGCAAAGGCTAGCATTGTACACAAAATACTGCTTACTTGCACATGATTCCAAAGATAATCGACCGTCTGTCATTTTTAGTGCAGGTCATAACATAAAGCCATCATGGGCAAAACAGATACAGATTTTCCATATAGAATCCACATTTCACCAGTGTCGCACCAAGCACTCAACACAGTAGTTGGGTGACAAAACCTTTGAACTCCCAATCCAGAAATGGGGAATTTGCAACAGCAAACACTGGCTGGAAACAAATAACTTTTCTTAGACTCAGGGATATGCCAGTGATCTGCTATATTGGACTAGAAGTCTGCCTCTTCTGAAGGTTGTCTGGGAAGTCAAGGCAGTTGGGGTCAGGAATTGGCTACACTACTTTTGTCTCTAGACCGTGTTTTGCCCACCAGTGTCAGGTTTTGAAGAGGTATTTGGTGAAAGCATTGATGTGTCTTATGTAGATGTGGGTGTTTACAGCCTCAGACATTCCATCCATCAATTGCTTGCATGGGCCTTTTCTAGTTCTGCTTCATTTTTAACTTGACAGTGTGATGCACTATCTTGTGATGGTTTTGACACATGTCCAAACCATTTGATCTGTTGTCTCTTTATATAGTCCACAATATGCGAAGGTCTAATATTTCACAACCCTTCTTCTTCTTTTTCACTTTCTCCAGTTACTTCATCGACGTGTTGGGAGAAATAAAACGATATTCTGTGCAGATTGTATAAGCTGGTCTTCATTTTTTAAGGCTGTTTTTGATACCATCATTCCGTTTGAATGGTTTTCCCTCTGTGTCTAGTATATTATTTTAGCATAGTTCTCTGTGGCAGTTGGTATGACAACACTTTTGTCAGTTGGCCAAACCATCTTATATGGTTCTCTTTAATAAACTTTATGACTGGTTTCAGTCCTAGTCATATTCTGATAACTTAATTGCATATCTTCTTGTCAATAAACCACTTCCTCTAGGACATCTTGTCTCTGTTGCTATAATTTTGTGTTGATTAGTTTTAGTTAGGGTCCATTGTTGACACTGGCAGCATAAAGTTGGCCAAAAATTGTTTTTTGTCAGATTTGTCTTTGGAATACAAAGCTGTCTGCACCAATGTCGGAATTAAGCCTTGAGGGGAAAAGAGGAAGGTTGGACATGGGGTCAGTTTCCCCATCCTGTAAAAATTATTTGCCTAGGAAACTTGCAATAAATGTCCAAGGGAAACCCTAAGGCGGATGTAACGACAGAAGCCAAAGGTGCTGGACTTGATTCGATCTATGACATTGAACTGACTGTTCTGTAATGGCACAATGACAATGAATGAATGAATGAATGAATATGAAAGTATAATTCTATGTTCAAACAAAGGACTACCATAATGTATACAAGACATCTGATTCTGTACAGTGGTCAAGAAGCACTGAAAACCAAAAGGGCACTTATACGGAGGCCTATAAATAATGACACACTATATGAGTTTAGGCTTTAGATTACTTACAGGAGGACCTGTCTTTCCTGCAGCACCAGGAATTCCAGTATCTCCTGGAGGACCCTGTTGGGATAAACAGCAGAACATTAACCATGGTAACACAAGAAGACTACCTTAATTTGTGATAAATTATTTGTTATAAATGGTTAGTGGACAAGACAAATTATATTTTTTGGTAATATTGCATGAAAGGTACTGGAAAATGACAAATATTTCTAACGGTTGTCAAAAGAAGATGATGCTAAATGGGTTGCCAGAATGGCACTAAAGTTGTAGAACAGTTGATCTCATCAAGATTGGGAAAAAAGGGGGGTGGGGGGGGGGGGGAGAAAGAGATGGATGTGATAGAAATGTTCCATGTGCCTGGCTCAACACATGATGATAATGAGGACCAAGATGACCGATTTTAATTAATAATTTAACAAATTATAAAAACTATGCGGTAACATAAAGATGCAAACTGGCACATAAAGAAATATTATCAAAGAAAGGCAATAACAATGTAAATATGTGACAGTAACATTAAGAAAATGACTCTTTACAAAGTATAATAATAACAACAAGCATAATAAAGTAATGTTACGGATGATGGAAATAATAATAAAGTTAGTTGTGTATTCTTTACAGGACATTACAGAACCAACCCCCAGCAATGTTTTGGCTGTTTGTGATTTCACTAAGCAATTTTACATTTAGTAGTTTGCCATCACTTTGTGGACAGTCAGATCTCAATTTCATTATTAAAATCAATGCAAAGCCATCAGCTGTCAAATAGCCCACAGCTGTCTAGGAATTATGAATTATGTTCATAACACCTAAGCTACAGGAAATGACAATAATAATAGTAATTATACTAAACAGAAGTGATACTTCGTTAAAATGATTACAGTGACACAAACCAAAAACTCACAGGATTGCCAGGTGGGCCGGCTTCACCAGCTGGTCCGGTCTCCCCAGCAGGTCCCTATATGAAACAAGTAACAACCAAAATTAATTCACTCTCAGAGAAGGAAAACAAGTATAAATACTGATATTTCAAACTGACTGTGATAGCAGCAGTGTGACCTTCATCCAGAATTTTGTTTCATTTGTCCCAATTGTAGTTTTGAAATAATTCCCTTATGACCATTTGACTGGTAACTGCAGTTCCAGCATTACAGCAAATGGGTCACCAGACAGTTGCTTTGTTCCTGTGCCAATGAAAACCACAGAGAAAGTCCATCCCTGTCTCTTGAGAAACAATTGGACACAAGACTGCTGTCTCAGCAAATTCAATAGCATACACAAACATTAAATGAATAATGCAGCCATCAGAAGTGCCCACACAAACAATCTAACACTAAAAATGCAGGTCGTTATTGATGGAAGCAGCAGTTACCACAGCAAACCACACTAAAATGTTACAATGGGTACAGAGCCAGTGGAAGACCTCGGAAAACATGGAGTGATGGCATTAAGAACATCCTTACAGAAATGAACATCAGTCCTAACAGTGCTCTTGACAGAGCTCATCAACGAATGTTGCATCTCCCCCCTTTCCCCACTGAGGTAGAAGGTGGAAGAGAAGAAGAAGAAGCGGTTACAATGGAGCAGTAGTTGCATACATAGACATTTAACTGTACTTCACAAATATTTTTCTGAAGAAAGGCAGCGGTAACTCATAGCTACAATTATTGGGTGTGCCACTTTACAGTGTAGCTTTCTCATGGAGAGAAAACTGCAAAAACTTAAACTGTTGAAGTTTGTATATCGAGTCAAAATAGGGGTTGCTGCAGTTCCTACATGCTTACACACAAGCAGCCATTTTTTTAAGGGAACAAAACAAAAGCAGAACTGAAATAATTGAAACCTTTCAGTTTCAGAGAGTTTTGAATTCAAGAGTCATCATCATCATCAATTTCCACTTTATTAAGGCTTGAGGGGAGGAACAGTTTGTGATTCTTTGCTTGATTGGCAGCAATGGCTTTTGCCATCCTGCGTTGATTTAGAAGCTCTGAAATGTCATCAGTCCTCCTCGAGCACCTCTTGCTTTCACTTTAGATCTTTTCATGTATAGTGCCTGCATTGGTCAAATTTAATAGTGACTATGCTGAAGTTGTTGTAAGCTAGAGCAACAAATGCTGAGTCTCATAGAGCTAAAAGTTACAGTTCTGGGAGAAAAGGTACACCAGCAACTGGAAAAAAAAGGGTCAACATAACAGAAGAAAGGGATGGAAACAGTAAATAAATGTGCAAGACATGTAGCAAAACCAATCAATGTATGATGTGTTCTTGGAACAAAAAAGTTAAAAGTAAAAATTGTGTCTTTCTCTATCATTTCTTTTAGAGGGTGTTTTATTCTTTAGTGGCATTGTCTGGAATTAATCTTTTCTTTTTTTTATCTGTAGTAACATTTTTCTTCAGGTTGCATTGTGTGAAATGTGCACTATCTGTATAGCTGATATTACCAAGTAAGTCAATAATCTTCTGCTTTCTTATATTTGTTAACACTGATACTGTTTTCTACTATTGTCTTGATATTGATGCTGTTTTCTGATTTTTGTTTTTGACATTTATACTGCTTAGGTTTTTTTTTAAGGTCCACCTATAATACTTCCAGGAATATGTTTTGCAATATAAAGGACCTGATTTAAAATTATAGTTCATATTTTGTCATTGCAATATTTAATTTTTTAAACTTTAAACAAAACAGGCCAAATCATAGTAGATGAGCTTACTGGTGGTCCCATAACTCCAACAGGTCCTGGCTGCCCTGGACTTCCTGGTATGCCCTGTAAGAAACAGACAGAGACATAATTCAATGGAGATATTTAACACAAAAATGTACACACATTTAAATAACTGGGCACGACATTTAGCAGATGTGTCATACACGTAGACAACATGATAGTTAGGGTCAGGCAAGGTCTGACAGCACTCAAGGTGCTAACAGCAGCTGATTTTGAACAACGCCTACTTTTCCTTTTCTATCAAGGGCTTGTATTAAGCATCACTGACTATAGTCTGGGCCTCATCACTGTCAGCAGAACTCAACTAGAAAGACTGGACAGGGTACAAAATGAGGACATGAGACATACTTGGCTGCACAAAAGATACCTCCTGCCACGCCATGTGAAATGTCCTGGGTTTGTTGATGATGGCTAACAGATACCAAGTTGGTACAGGTCAAGGGGTACACGAGGGTATCGGCAGACGTTAACCACAAACAGCACAAAAGGAATGCATCTCTAAAGAGGCCGTTCCGGATGGCCAAGGCTGAAGATTTAATAAAGTAGGTATGTAACCTGATCAGTCACAGAAAAGAATACACCAGTAGACATGCATGGCATCTCTAAGGTTGTCATCACACTGAGGAGGTTCTGCAGGGATAAGATTTCTGAGGCTATAAACAAAGAGGTAAGGGCACTGATATATCAGCATTCACACCCAGAAAATCGTAGTTAACCTACCTCACCTGGATCTACACACCTGGTCATGCTAGCATAAAGGGTAAAGAACGAGTGGACCAATTGGCAAGCAATGCACTAACCCATGTGGGAAGAGTATGGACAGAGCAGATATCATCAACGCTGTATGGACTGGGCTAGTGGATAATGATAAATCTCTGACACTAACACAGTTGCGTGACATGGGAGTAAAGCATAGTCTATGCCACCATTGAATCAGAGATAGGAGAAATTTATAACCAGCCTCTCATGGGAACAATTAGTAGAGGTACCTTGGAGTGGCTTCTGCATCGGAGGACTGAGCAAACATGAGAATGCCCAATGTGCAGTGATGTCGATTGTGATATCATAACACATGTATATATATATATCATCATCAAGTGTCTCACCAAGTGGCGTGGGCTATAATAGCTCTCCACAATCTGCGATATTCAGCAGCAATCATCAGGTCATGTGCCGACATCCCTCAATGCCAATACAAAAAAGCTGTCAAGAATTGCTACGTTTTGTCCTCCTCTGTCTCTTCCCCTCCCCCTCCCCCCACAAATATTTCCAGTGGTCATATCATGTTCCAGTTTTCCTCTTCTTGTAACAGGATTACCAAAAACTATGACTGACTCCTTCTGATGTTTGTGATAAGGTGTCTTCAAACCCTCGACTCGCATGCAATTTATCACATATAATATAAATATATATTTATAATAAGCTAGTTGCACATCCCACAGGAAACTTTATACTTGGCGTCTTTATATATTTATATATATATATATATATATATATATATATATATATATATATATATATATATATATATATATATATATATATATATATTTTTTTTTTTTTTCTATTGCCCTATGACTGCTTGGTGCTCATACCACTGAATCAACATCCACACAAAGCAATTGGCTACCAAATTACTGTAGGGAAATCGAACCTTGATTTCAGAACTATGAATATGTGTTCCTAACCTCTGAGCCAGTGGTTCTCAACCTTCCTAACGCAGCGACCCTTTAAGTCAGTTCCTCGTGTTGTGGTGACCCCCAAACATAGAATTATTTTTGTTGCTTCTTCATAACTTCAGTGAATATTTGTTTTTTGATGGACCCGTAAAAGGGAAGGGGTCATGACCCACGAGTTGAGAGCCACTGCTCACATCCACCAAGTGCCGATTGGTCTATAAAATATAGGTCTAGCCCTATTGGCCCAATACGCTGAAGGCATGGACAAGGGCTCTCTACTTATACATGTTCTGCTTCTTTGAAACATTGACACTTATACATGTTCTGCTTCTTTGAAATACTGACACTTATACATGTTCTGCTTCTTTGAAACACTGACACTTATACATGTTCTGCTTCTTTGAAACACTGACACTTATACATGTTCTGCTTCTTTGAAACACTGACACTTATTCATGTTCTGCTTCTTCAAAACACTGACACTTATACATGTTCTGCTTCTTCAAAACACTGACACTTATACATGTTCTGCTTCTTTGAAACACTGACACTTATACATGTTCTGCTTCTTCGAAACACTGACACTTATACATGTTCTGCTTCTTTGAAACACTGACACTTATACATGTTCTGCTTCTTAGAAACACTGACACTTATACATGTTCTGCTTCTTCAAAACACTGACACTTATACATGTTCTGCTTCTTAGAAACACTGACACTTATACATGTTCTGCTTCTTCGAAACACTGACACTTATACATGTTCTGCTTCTTCGAAACACTGACACTTATACATGTCATTTGTTTCAAATTAGGAGTGGGTGGCTGAAGGATCAGAGGACACTCTTTAAAATGAGTAAGGCATGTTTGTGATCCACAGTAGGGCACAGCATTTCAAAAGAACATCCTAGCTTGTTCATTTTGTTAGAATTGCTTAGGTAAGCAGATTTTATTCTTCAGTCTGTAATCTGGTAATCTGGTAATCCTAGTTTCAGCATCATAGCAAACGGGTCACCCCATTGTTGCTCCGCTCCTGTGCCAACGAAAAACACTCGTAGCTCACAGTGTCACACCATGCACTCAACTCAGAAGCTGGGTGACGAAACTATATCCTTCCAGTCTACAAATGGAGCAAAAATGCAACGGCCACCGCCTGGCAGAACTGTCACGGCTTAAAAAAAAAAAAAAGTGGTCGTGCCTAGTGTCCACTGTGACTTGAAGCATTATGTGAGGGGTTAACAAATGGTCACCCCAGCAGTACCCTCACTATTAGCTGGGAAAGGGACTTCAGTCTGTGTAAAGCACATACACACATACACAAACTCTCATGACAAACACCAGCAATGCCACACACACACACACACGCGCAAATGCACATACATGCACGCACACACAAATAATGTTTACAATGAAAATGTTTTTTATTAAAAAATACTTACAGGTTCACCCCTATCACCAGGCTGGCCAGTTTGTCCATCTTGTCCTGGAACTCCCTAGATGAGAGGCAAATAGAAATGTGTCTAAAAAAAAAACTATGAATATAATGTAATATTCTGTAGGTTGAATAAATGATTACATTAGAGAAAACCCACATTAAGAAAAAAAAAAAAAACCCACAATCAACAATTAATAAAATGAACTATTAATAAATAATTTTTCTGAATTTTTATTTCACAAACCTGTGCCTCCAGCAAACTCAGCATAGTTTATGGTGTGGAAATAGTATTAAAAGTTAAAAGGCAGTGAAGAAACAGAACACATTTTTTTTTCAAGAAACATTTAACAAAGTTGTCAGGCTAAACTAAAGGATTTTGTTAGTAATCTTTCTCTCTACAGTTATCTCCACCTCTCTCATTCAGTCTTTCTCTCTGTATTGTTATCTCTGTATCTCTCACTCTCTCAGTATTGTTATCTCTCTCTGTATTGTTATCTCTGCCTCTCTCTCACTCTCTCTATATTGTTATTTTTCTCAGTATTGTTATCTCTGTCTCTCTCTCACTCTCTCTATATTGGTTTTTTTCCCTCAGTATTGTTATCTCTGCCTCTCTCTCACTCTCTCTATATTGTTATTTTTCTCAGTAGAGTTATCTCTGTCACTCTCCACTTTGCTCTTTCTTCATCACACAAACTCTTACACACACACAAACTCTTACCCACACACAAACTCTTACACATACACAAACTCTTACCCACACACAAACTCTTACACACATACAAACGTTGTGCTTACACTTGGTCCCGGAGGCCCCATCAGACCAGGTGGGCCGGGAGGCCCCTGAATGCCTTGTTCTCCTGTAAACCCTGGAGGACCTGGTGCACCATGATCACCCTTAGGACCAGGAGGTCCTGGGATGCCTTGTTTTCCTCGTTCACCTCTCTGGCCCTGCGAATATAATAAGCACTTTATCAGCATCACAAGTCACATGGATAGATAAAGGGTGTCACATTTTACCAATTCCCACAGTCACCAAAATCAAAGACCATGTCACACTGTTCTTGTCTCCCCTCTCATTCCCTTGGCTGAGCCATCCTGGTATTTATCTCTTAGCATTTACTCTTGCTGTCTTTTCATCAATTTTGTCAGTTGTCTCTGATTTCTCAAATCCGTTTTTTTTCCCCAAATAGCAGATCAGAAAATACTAACTGTCTTTGTCTAAATTTTCTAATCAGTGTACCGCTTTCATCTATCTCCAGAAGGACTGCATTTCTGGTTTCTTCCATCATTCCATGATATTCTATTTATTTTTCTTTCTCGAAAACCCATCTCCGCTGTGAGTAAATTTTAATTAGTATTACACACTGTAGAATAATTAGAAACCATTGTATTTAATTATTTTTGAACAAAGAAGACACAGACAATAGATTGCACGATAAGGCCCACATATTTTGCTCTTATTTGGTGTATACTACATAACAAGTGATTAGATGCAGCAAATTCTGCTCTCCTCAACGTTCATATTAGAAAACTCCAGTGGAGAGCTCTGGTTTTTTGTATGTGTCCCCTTCTGGATTTAACACTTGTTCAAGAACTTGAGTTTTTCTGCACATCAATTTTTAAAATGTGGCTTATTTGTGCAGACTATTGGTTCCTCGCCTATCATGCAGATTCACTACACATTTAAAGGGAACATCCCTAATTAGGTGTCTTTTATAACAGCTTGTTAGCAAAACAGTCTGTCTATTAATTTTCTCCCTCAAAATGTTAGCAAAATAATGTGTCTCCCCCCCTTCCCCCAAAACAGGGGGCTCTGGAACTCACAGTGGGGAATGAAGCAACCAAAAAACTCCTTTTAATTGAAATAGATGTGACACTTATAAATGTGACTAACAAACCCACTATAACTAGGTTAGAAATAGCATTTTAATACCATCTAAAAATTCACATAAAATTGTAGAATTAATACAACTAAGAAGTTGAGACTTACCCTAGAACCCGGTTCTCCCTGCTCTCCTTGTGGTCCAATCAGACCCTGAGAAATTCAGTTAGAATGTGAAAGGCATACAATAGAAAAGACAGTTACCTGTCACAAATGTTAATAAAACAATGTTGAAGAAAAACATAGCATGATAAAAGCAGGATCAATTCTGACATCATCAAGATCTATCATTCTGGTGTTCACTGTCTATCTCTGGTGTTCACTGTCTATCTCTGGTGTTCACTGTCTATCTCTGGTGTTCACTGTCTATCTCTGGTGTTCACTGTCTATCTCTGGTGTTCACTGTCTATCTCTGGTGTTCACTGTCTATCTCTGGTGTTCACTGTCTATCTCTGGTGTTCACTGTCTATCTCTGGTGTTCACTGTCTATCTCTGGTGTTCACTGTCTATCTCTGGTGTTCACTGTCTATCTCTGGTGTTCATTCTTCTTCTTCTTTGTGTTCACCAGCTGTAAACTCTGATGGAAAGTTCTGGTTGTTCATCCACTTTTGGACTGCAGTCCTGTTCCAGAACCTGAGTGTTGCGTGTGCATCTGTTTTACAGATCAGACTCATTTATATGCAGACTGCTGGTTCCTTGCCTCTCAGGCAAATGCACTCCGACTTCGAAGGAGGCTTCCAATTAGTCGACTCTTACGACATGCTTTTGAGTACACAGTGGATCTATTCTTGTTTTCACTATAATAGGGCCCCGGAACCCACACGGGAATGTTGAAGTCATTAGTTGCCAAGGATCCATTACCACTGCAGACAGAATGTTGAATGTTGAATTAAGAATCGACACCACAGCACTCAGGACACTCCCATAAGCTCTCCATCTCCATCTTCAATAAGAGTTCCAATTCAGTAACTGTCTGATTGTATATCCATCTCGCCTTTCCCTTTGGTGTTGAGTGTCAGCCAGATCCCCTGATAACTCATCGCAGTGCCATTTTAACCAGACCGTAATAATCTGTTAGTGCCTCCGCACTGTTCACTCGCTTCAAAAGGGCCCTCCCATCATCTAGCTTGTCATACATCAGTTCACCGCCAAGTGGTGCAGAGCCGGCCAGTCTAACTGTCTGCTCATTTTCTAACACACTGGCTTGACCTGGAGAAAATATCCAAAGGGCGCTAACTACCCGGGACCTCAGAAGTGATGCTTGCCACTCTGCACGGTAATGCCTGTCTCCACCTTTGTCGACATGCTCAGAGAGTCTGTTACAGTTACATGTTTGTACACTTGATTCTCAAGCTAGCAGAAGACAGCGCACTACAGATGGGTCACAAAAGAACCCCAGTTCTTATGCCAGTCAAAGTCACACAAAATATCCTTCACTATCCCATCTTAAAACTAATGAAACACTATAGTAAGTCCCATCAAAATCACAAAGCTTGCACATGCAAAAAAGAAAATGCATAAGGCAGCTGTCAGATGTGCCAACACCAATGGTCTCACACCAGAATTGCAGCTCACTGATGGCATGGACAGCCACTCATAAAAGCCAGCATTGCACCCGTTAAAAGGACTTAAAAGCCAATGTTTATGCTGTTTGATTGGCTTGTAAACCCTCTACAGACTTCTTCTTCTTAGCATTCACCAGCTGCAAGAGAAAAGTCCTAGCTGATTGTTCAGAATACTTCAGTGTGGCATGCACATCCATTTTACAGATATCATTAATCAATCAGGTGCCGTCTCCACAATGAAGGTTGGCTGTAATGGATCTCCAACAAGCCCTGTCTCTTGCCCTTGATGTACACTCACTCATACGACTGTTCGTCCATCTCTTGATGTTATCCTACAGATATCAAACAGGCATAAATCCTGGAAACCCAGTTTAACCATATATACATACAACACAGTTATACTGGGGCATCAAAAAATGGGTACAAAGTAAACTACCTGTAGTCCAGTGTTGGTGGGTTGTGTTTCTTTGACCACCTGGTAATTCTGTCATGGAAGCAAAACTATTATCCAAAAAAAAAAAAGGATTTTCCCTTACCGGTTTGCCTCTGAGACCTCTCCTTCCTCTTCTTCCAAGACGTCCTTGCTCTCCCTGAAAGATAACATTTAATCAGTTATCACAGGAAGATAACATTTAAACAGTTATTATATTTACCATAGACAGAATGATGAATTAATAAAATGAAGGGGCATGTAAATAACAGTCGTTACACAAATTTTGTTCTATTCTCATTTATAACATGAAAAATATGCATATTCTGTTATCATCATCACACAGTATGTTTCTGGTTATCTTTTATCATCTTATTATTGTGGTTCCTCAGAGGAAGGTTAAGAATCCCTGGAACTGTCAGAGCACCTAACGAGGATTGGTTGAAAAAAGCCTATGAAAGCAGATCAATATATACAGCTATAAAGAAACAACAAGCACTGTTCTTTCATCATGTGATGAGGGGAAAGGTTTTGGAGAATATTGTGACGACTGGGAAGATCAATGGTAGAAAAGGGAGAGGCAAACTGAGAGAGGTGATAATGGATGGATTGTGATAGTGGCATGGAAGATATCATCAGTGAAACTGATCCAGACCACAAGGAACTGAGAGCTGTGGAGATACATGAACACCTTCGCCAGTCGGTAGGGCATATGATGATGATCTTATTATATTTCCTTTCTCTTTTAGTCAACACCTTTACATTAAACAAACCAGGTATGCATGCTTATGAGAGAGAGAGAGAGAGAGAGAGAGAGAGAGAGAGAGAGAGAGAGAGAGAGAGAGAGACAGAGAGAGAGAGAGACAGAGAGAGAGACAGAGAAAGAGAGAGACAGAGAGAGAGATAGAGAGAGACAGAGAGAGACACACAGAGAGAGACAGACAGAGAGAGACAGAGAGAGAGACAGAGAGAGAGACAGAGAGAGAGACAGAGAGAGAGACAGAGAGAGACAGACAGAGAGAGAGAGAGAGAGAGAGAGAGACAGAGACCAAAAACAATCCATTCCACAAAGGAAGACAAGATCATGATTTTCAGATTTCAACATGAACCAGAGGAGACTCAAACAATTGCTCCCAGGCCTCTGAGTGTACAGGTCTTAGATGCCATCATTCATTCATTACCCTGTTGCGCCATTATATGCTACAAGGGCTCCAATACTTTTCTCCCATTCCTTTTAATGCTATGCAATCTCTTTAATATCATGGATGGAATCCAGTCCAGCATCTTTGGCCTCTCTAATGAGCATTCCTTTTAAGGTTTCTTTTTGACATCCTCACCTTCTTAATCCCTTTATTTCCCTTTTATGTCTGTTTGGTGATTCTCTTCTCATTTCATCTCAAAATGGGCCCATATAGTGCCCAATATATTTGTCTAATAACTTTTGTTACCAGTGGTTGCCCAGACACTTCTCTTGTTTCTCCACCACTCATGAATTCATTCCATTTTATGTTCAATATTTTTCTCAGGCATTTGTTTTGACAAGCATTTAGCATTTGTTGCATGTCTTGACTGGTTCTCCAACTGTTATCCTAGATTTGTCAGGAAATTTTTTCTAAGAAATTCCAGCGAAATTTGACTAGAAAGGTCAACAAAAATGGGGAAGCAGAAAAACGTGAACAAAACAATACAAATAACGTAACGTTTTGGCCAGGAAGCCTTTGTCTAACTACACAAAAATAAAAATGAGGAGAGGAGAGTATACAGATCTCTAAGGGGTGACGTGAGCAACGTTTAAAAAAAAATGTGATGTGGAATGAATAAAATAAAATAAAATAAACGATGGCTAAAAATACAGTCGCAAAAAAATAAAAAGTAATATTTTAATATATAATATAATAGTGGGAATAAAAGAAATACAAATGTTAATAATACATAAATGATAATGATAAGAGTATGAAATAAAATAGAAGAAAAGAAAATTCACATTTTAAAAGTGAAAAGAGTAAAACTGTTTAGATTAAGGTATGTTGGATGTTGCAGGAAATTCTAATCTAAGCAAGGTGAAATGAACACATTTTTTTTTCTGTGGAATAACACAGTGGCTGATGAAACCTGTATTTACAATATAGGCAACTGGGTAAAAATAATGGGAATCAAGAAGACACTGGACCAACATCAACAGCATCACCAACATAAAAAATAATTACAGTACCCAAAAAAAAAAAAAAACCATTTAGTGACACAAATTTACCTTAGCTCCAGGAGGGCCAGGGTACCCGGGGAAACCATTAATGCCGATTCGTCCCTGGGTTTGCACAAAATTAATACATGGATAAATGTATGGTTACACAAACTTTAAATTTTAACATTTTATCACATTAAAAATACTAGTATACATGAATGTATATTAAACTACACAAATACTTGAACAGTTTAAATAAATTTAGCTATATGAACATACAAGCAGCATTCTTCTTCTTCTTCTTCTTTTTTTTTCTTCTTATTTTCTTCTTCTTCTTCTTGTTTTCTTCTTCTCCTTCTCCTTTTTCTTCTTTTTCTTCTTCTTCATCTTCTTCTTCTTTTTCTTCTTTTTCTTCTTCTTCTTCTTCTTCTTCTTCTTCTTCTTCTTCTTCTTCTTCTTCTTCTTATTTTTCTTCTTCTTCTGTGTTTCTTCTCTTTCTTTTTCTTCTTCTTCTTCTTCTTCTTCTTTTTCTTTTTCTTCTGTGCTTCTTCTTCTTTTTCACGTTCATCAGCTGTAAACGCCAGGGGAAAGTTCTGACTGTGCATCCATTTTTGGACTTTAGTCTTGTACCAGAACCTGAGTGTTGCACGCATGTCCGTTTTACAGATGTGGCTCATTTGTATGCAGATAGTTGGTTCCTTGCCTCTCAGGCAGATGCACTCTCACTTTGAAGGAAACTCCCATTCAGTCAACTCTTACAACACGTTTGTTGGGGAGGCAGTAGGTCTGTTCTTGTTTCTCCCCACAATATGTGACCGGCAGTCCCAATGGGAAATACAAGCCATAGGAACACACTGCACAACCCACAAAAGTCACCCCATCTTATCGTGCACTTTTATCTGGGAGACAGTATGTCGACCGCGTCAAACAAACCTGAGCCACTTTTCAGCAGTCTGTGTATAGGCAGCAAAGGAAG